CCTCTTCCTGGGATGGGGCCTGCCTATTTAGTTCCAGGGAGGGCCAGGGGAAGGGGGGGGAACGTCCATCGGAGGCGCCATCTTTGATAAGGGCGTCAGGACCCCTCCCTGGAGCGTTTCCGGGGGGCACCTCCCTCGGGCGCACTTCCGCCGGCTGCGCACCTTCGTATTAGCGTCCCAGGCGCTCGCTCGGGACCCGAGGCTTCCACCACGAGAGGAACCCCGATCCCCCTCGGCGGTCAGCACTGCCTGCGTGGACTCGGGGAGCGCGATGTCGGGCCGAGGGGAGCAGTCCAGACTCGGGTCGCAGACCTGCCTCTGAGACCCCGGCATTCGGGGGCCTCGTTAGCCTTGGTTTCCTCGGCTGTGAATGCGGAGCCCAGCCGCACAGAGCTAACTGGCAGGAAAGGAGCAGCATGAAGGACGGAGGACACCCGCCCCCGCGGGCAGTGACGCCAATGTCAGTTTCTCTTCCCCTTTCCCGACGCCCTAGCCCAGCTCGTTTCCTGCCGCAGGTCTCCATGGCAACGACTGAGCCCGAGCAGCCCAAAGGCAAGGATTGGCCCGACATGAAATTATGTGACCTGTCACCCAAGACTTCAGTAAGAATCATGAAACTGCACACTCCACATGTGAAAACACAGCTTTTATTCTAAAACACGGGCCCTTGTGAGAATGGAGACGCGGGCCAGGGTCTGAGTGACGCCGTTCCCTTCCCTAAAAAGGGAAGGAAGTTGTTTCAAAGGAAAAGACCCAGCGATCGGCAGGAGGCCGCCCTTCCTCAGCGCGGAGGCCGGCGGTGCAGGGGCTGGCGGAGGGCTGGTTCTCCTGACCTGGGCCGGCGGGCCAGGCGGGCCACCGGGTGGAGAACGGCCCCGGGACCGGACAGCCCCAGAGTGCGCGCCAGGCTCCGCCCCGGCCTGCCCTCCCCGCCTTCACTCTGCCCTTGGGAAGCCGCTGGGGTGCCAGCCCACCCTCCGGCAATGGCCTCACTCCCTAGGAACAGGCTCTTGGTGACTTTCCTGGGAAGCTCCTCAGGGAGAGGTGCTTGGTGTCGGAGACAAGTGCAGGCAAACCCACCAGACAGCCCCCCACAGTCCCAGAGGAGTCGGGGGGCCAGAGCCTAAAGAGTGGGGGCCACCGCTGCTCAGGCTGAGGAGGCAGCTAGTCAGGTCCCCAGAGACTGAAGACAACTTACTGGCCCCTTTGCCCAGTGCTCTGGTGCTAATCATAGTCCCTCACTCGTCCAGGGTCAGCCTGTGTTTCAAATGCATAGGATCGGCGCTGTGGGGGCGAAAGGGGCTGAGGAGGCTCGGGCTCTCGGGGAGGCAGACTAAACCGACTCCGGGGTTCAGACCCTCCTGTGCCTTCCGGTGGGAGCTCTAGGCAGCTGAGGGGCCGCGGGGAATGGGCAGGGATCATGCTACAGAGAGAGGTTCTGGGGATGAGGCTGTAGTCCTCGCTCCCGCTCCCCGGACAGGTCTGGGTCCGCCACACCCCCAGTGCCTCGGTTCTCTGGCGGTCCCTGGCCAGGGCCACGGCAGCATCAAAGGAAAGACTGCCTCCATTCCTCCAAGAGGAGCGGGAGGCCCGGGCCCCCCGGGCCCTTTCCCCAGGAGTCCCATCCAGCCGGCCAGGCCTTGGGCATGGGTTTGCAGGTGCCACATGGATCTTGCTACACATTACACTGGGCATCTTGGCAAACTGTGGCTTAGGGGGCACCACCGGCACAGAGCGGACCTGTTGGACCTGAACCAGGGTGGAGGCCAGGCGCATGCCCACACTGCCAGCTGAGCTAAGGGGACAGGGGCACAGATGGCAGCCCTCTAGACTGGGCTGCCCCTCAGGCTCCATCTCCTCTGGCCAGGGTGGCTGTGGGGCTGCCTGTTGGGTCTCAGAGGCCTGGGCACTGCCCTCTTTGGCATCGTCAACCTCTAGGGACACTGCATGCAGCCCTGGGAGGAGGAAGCCCCCCTCTCGATGGCCTCCTCCAGCCCTCTGCTCTCCCTCCGCCTCTCCATCCCCGCTCTCCCGCTCCCTGCCGGCCTCCGCTGCTCCTCCTTCGGCTGTTTCTGCGCTGTCTTCACCATCTCCTTGGTCTGCTCTGGCTTCTTGGTCTCTGTTCTCCCTCTGCCCTCTGGCTTTACCCTCATTCTCTCTGCCTTCCTCAGCCACTGGTGTGTGGACAACTTCCCAGCTCTCCCCAGCAGCTGGCATCTCCTGGGCCCCCTGCTCCAGGTCCCTTCCAGCGTCCGCCTGAGCTTCCTCTCCCTCCTCAGCCTCTTCCTGTCTTTCAGTCTTTGTTTTCTTCTTGCCTTTACCTGGCTCTCCTGTTCGCTCCACACCCTTAGCTGCCTCCATGCTCTCTCCCTCCTGCCAACCTCCGGACTCTTCCTTGGCTTCTGTCTCCCCCCCACTTTCTTCCCTCAAATTGACCACCCTCTCTGGGCCCCCCTCAGCCTCCCCGCCTTCCCCTGCCTCTCCAGCCTCCGCCTTGTTCTCTGGGCTCCCCTCAGCCTCCTCCCGGATGTCCCCTCTGCTGCCATGCTCCGTCTCCTTGTCCTCCTCAACTTCCCAGCATGCCTGCACCCGCTCAGCCTGTCCTAGAGCCTCCAGGCTGCCTGGACCCTCCCCGGCCGGGGACTGGGGCCCCAGGAGAGGACTGAGGTCGTCGTAGGCACTCAGGAAGACTTCTTCCCCGGGGTCCTCCTCTGCCTCAGGCCCAGGCCCCCGGGAGTCCGGGGAACAGCAGCTGGGAGCCAGGACAAACTGCGCCTCATCCAGAGACAGGTCGTCCAGGGGCGGCTCCACGGAGAACTCCTCCACCTGTGGGCCAGCAGTGGCTCAGGACCCGGGGTCCTGCCTGCCCTCTGGACACCTCCCGACCCCAAACCAGCAGGCTCCTTACCTGAGGGCCCGCTCTCAGCAGCTCCTCCAGGTAGCCCATCCCAGGGTCGTCCTCCCCAGGGGAGAAGGCTGCTCCTGCTCCTGCTGCTCCTGCCTTGGCCGCCTCCCCTTCCTCCGCCCCCACCCACTCAGGCTCTGAGCTGCTGGAGTCCTCCAGGAAGGAGAAGGAGTCTTGCACCTCCTGGGACAGGCAGTCCTCCAGGGCAGGGGCCAAGGCTGCGGGGCCGGAGTCAGCCAGGGGACCTGGGGCTGGACTTGCCTCGGACTTCTCATCTGTTAGAAGAGAGGTAGCCCCAGGAACACAAAGGTCACGGCCAGCCCTGACCCTCTCCAAGGCGGCCTTTCCAGCATTGCTACGGGGGCCCACACTCCCAGCCCAGACCCCCACGTGGCTATCCTTTCAGACCAATATTCCAAATTATTGGCTTACAGCCGCCTGCGCTGAGCTCCTACCAGGTGCCCGGCACCATGCGATTCACCTTCTTTCCCCACAAAGCACCTCATCACAGGGCCTGATCGCCCTGTTACACATGAGGAGCCTGAGACTCAGGGATGAACAGTCGGCCCAGGCCACACAGGTGGCAGACACATTTGGTCCCCCGTGGACTCCACAGCCACGGCCGTAGCCCCTGCCTGATGCTGCGCCCTTGTTGTGGGTGACACTGCGGAACGAGTACCAAGCAAAGCTCAGACCAGCTCTGCCGCTCGACCGGAAGCAGTGCCAGGCTCCGCTAAGCTGCCGCCACGGCGC